GGAGTTCAAAGAAGACTTTCTATAAGAGGACACAGAAAAATATAAAAGACAGAGTGTCAGAATCACTAGTATTTTATTTAATTCCAACAGGGTGTAAACAGCAATAGCTATATTATAAGCTTACATAATATAACATAAAAGTAACACTTCACAATAACGTCCCATTAGATAACATTAGTTCATACATTAACTAACAATTAGCAATACAATTTGTTACGGTATTTATTAACCTTTGTTAATAAAACTACAACTATTAATTTTTAGTTCATGTTAGCTCAAATCCATTAAATAATTTTAACAGATACAACTGCTGACTTTAATAATGTGTTCGTAAATTAATATTAACTACGATTAATAAATGCTTTAAAGTTTTTTTTTTTTCATTTTTAGTAGTTACCTAATATTAACAAATATAACCTTATTGTAACGTCTTACCAATATAAATGTATCAAATAATATAATAACACACTACAGAAGATTAACACTAATTATGCTGTTAAACTATATATAATGATACTAATGCTTCATTCTATACTATTTTTTATAATATGTTATTAGACCAACTGTGTATATAGTATGTTAATATTTACAATCAGGTGGATCTGCCTTTCTATTTTACATTTTATATCATATATATTTTATATACAGTATTGTCTTTAAAAAATAATTGGTTCATGTTGCTGCATTGCAAAAATACGAACTTATATTTATAATGAATTTAATGTATTTAATCTTAATTTTAATGTAATTTATTACTCAGTTAAATAACTTATACGGATAATTTCTTCATATTAGCCTATTAACGATGTTGTACATTGGTTCACATTTTTACAGACTTTTCTAAAAGTGAATGATTTTTAAGCTAATATTAAACTGAGATTTTGGATCTCACCTGGTGAAGAGGATCCCTGATCAACAATCTCAAGCAGTTTAAAACTCTTAGGATGTTGTCTGAGGAGGAATTTTCCAGCCAGTTGCTAAAAACAAATAAGACTGGTCTATAGTGATCCATAACTGGCATACATCATCAGCATCATACTCATGAATACAGACCTACAACCGAGTCTGTTATTGATCAAGGCAGTGAAGATGTCCAGGAACAGTCTGTGATGTGGCTGGTCACTAAAACACCTCTGATTTCTGTAGGTCACGCTGTTAATGACATGAACGTTAGTTAAAAAAATGCAAGAGAATAAGAGCAAAATGAGCAGATAGCATGTGCACCTAAAGTTATCCAGCTCTGATGCTTCGGTGCTTGTGCCGTTTTTCCGGTGATCAGGAACATTTGAGGAGTTCTGAGGCTTCCGTCCCTTGGATTGAGTCAAAGATGAAACCTGAGAAGGTGAGCAGAGATGAAAAACTACATTAACGATTGTGAAACCAAACCCACGTTCAGAATTTAACTGAGAATAAAATCGCAGTTCAATTCCTGATTTTGAATTGAAGCAGCAAAAAGAATTGTAATTCAAATGAGGCGGGGCATAGAGGACCTACAATAATGTACAGTATTTGAAAAATAATGTGTTTTTTGAACATTAAAGCATGTTAACATATTCTGTTACACCAAATACACAAAATAATGATCTTTAAAGAAGCATCATATGACCCCTTTAAGTAATCTGAAAACAAAAATTAAATTTCAATTAAAATTTATTGTCAAAATTACAATTTTACCTGTTTGGATACTGGAGCTGTGATCAGTGATAAAAGTCTCCTGAGATCAAGAAGCTCCCTAAAAAGATATTTTAAAAAGACATTATAAATATCAGCAGAGAAACTAAATTCACATCAGTAGTAGCAGTAGTTTTAGTGAAGGCTTACTTGTCTTTAGGTTTTGGATTTGGTCTGTTTGGTCCTCTAGACTTTCTGTCTTGGAGAGGCATGTTGACTCTATCTTCATTACTCTCATGTCTGCAGATCAATAAGATGACAAATATTTCAGACATTGCTTTTTCATGCACTGGCCAGTTTTGAGATTTTGGCCTATTTGGCTTTTCAAAACACGTTGTTTCAGACTAGTAGAAAAAAAAACTTTTTTTTTTATTACACTTTATCTGTGTGTGTCTGTAGGTTTCAATTACAATACATATCTTTAAAGGCCGGGTTTTCACAATTTCTCTTTTTTTCTCCACTTCAGCAGCACTTAAATGTGATTTATTTTTTCCTGACTGTTGACAGTTTTTTTCTGATTTATGGAGTGAAAAAAGTTCATTTGTAAGTCGCTTTGGATAAAAGCGTCTGCTAAATGACTAAATAAATAAATAAAAATAAAATAAAAAGAGCTATCCAAAAATCCCCTATATATAAAAATGTTGAATCTGAATCTGGTGTTCAGTTCCCTAAATATATATGCATTAGTGCATATTTAATTAGATAATGCATAATTTGCATATTTAAACATAACACTTGTTATACAAAAAAAAAATGTTTGTTATTTGTAATGTAATGAATCAATTATTAATGTAATCCATCAGTTGTGGAAACGACATGAGAGTAAGTAAATGATTTTGGGGTGAACTATTATTTAAAATAGTCACACTCTTTTATAATGCAAACTTTGCAGATTCAGTGGCTAGTATTTGAACACTTAAAAATCATTTCTGCTCAATGTCTGTAAATCAGCTGGTGTTTTTGGTGATTTTTAATGGATGTTTGTTGTCAGTTCTCCTCAGGTTCACACAGGTGGAGTGTTTTTGTAAATATTCTGTTTGAAAAGTGTCTCTATGCTATCACTCGTTAGAATAAAAGCCAGAACGGCTTTATATCTCGCAGGATGCATTTTCTCACCTGTGTGGATCGGGGATATTCAGAGATGAATCGCATGCTTGAAGGTCGTCATATATTTTTGAGAAGAAAACACACACAAGCTCGAATCAGGAGTGTGAAAACACACAGCAACCAACCGGAAGACGCGATGTTGAGGCGTCTGCGGTTACCATGGCGATACTCAACCAAACGCTCCGGGATGAGCTCGAGTTTCTCTTTTTCCACTGATCTGGAGTCAGTGAGAGTTACAACAAGTACACATTATTTTAATTACTATACAAAATAAAGGCTGCAATATGGATTTCTAAGTGTATTAACAAAGATGCATAGAACACAAATAAATATCTTTAATAAAATATTAATAATCCTCATTTGTAAGTCGCTTTGGATAAAAGCGTCTGATAAATGACTAAATAAAAAAATAAAAAAATAAAAAATATGTGGACGTTCCTCAGCATCTTACCTCTCATTTTACTGATCTTCTTTAAATGCTTTGTTAACGTACATAGTAATGTGATTAAAACTATAATGTCAAATGTTAAATAAAATGCACCTTTTAAATGTAGAAATATTATAATATAATTTTTTTTACCTAAAAAAATATTTCGCTGGAAAAAAATATATAATAATAACTTAGGTCGCATGGAAAACCGCTTTCCTCCTGATAGATGTCATTTACATTCAAGAAGTCAAAAGTTCAGAATGAGATCATCCTCTTTTTTTTTTTATCTCATATCATAAACGGATGTATCTACGTCAGTGATGAGAGGTGTGCAACATAAATAAACTTGGACTGGACACCTTTTCTATGATCTTTCATGCTGAGCCAGCTCAAACCTTTCTCGAGGGAACTGTATTTCTGTTATCAAAACGGTAAGACCAAAATCAATACAGTAAGTATTTTTATATAATTATTCTATTATACTTTCAGTTTTACAAGCTTTGACAAAAAAAATAAAAATTTTCATGTCATGTCAAAATACTCCCAATACTAAACCTGAATATGTGAAACACTGAAAATGTGTTTGTTGAAAGCTGACCGTGAGTGTGTGAACACATATTTTGATGCACACTGAGGTTTGCATGTAGTTTGCACTCCTACCAGTTCAGATATTATACACACTTCCAGTTTTGCATTTTAGTTAAACTTTAGCTGCGTCTGCTTTCATTCACCAGTCAGTTATCCTTTCAGTATGACAAAAGAATCTCTTAAACATCCTATTCAATGAGCTGTGCTCGATATGGCTATTCTCAGGCAAGATCTACAGGAATAAAACAGGGAAATCAGACCAAATCAGACTAAATCTTAGAAGACCCCGGGAAGCACACAGACGCTTGTGGTAAGTAAGGCAGTTTTCATATTAGTGACTTAAGTAATTTCCCTTGTGTCGAAACAATAATCTGTTTTAAACAAATATACTGTAAATTGGTCTTAAGTGTTAAAGTCACACTTTTAAAAAATCTGAATAAAATACTTATAAAACGTATAAAACAATACTATAAAATGTGTACTGGTCACTCACAGGACGCTGCATTAAAAAAGCAAATAATCAAATAAAATAACGGAATAAAATATTATAAAATAATAATAAAATACAATAAACCATCAAATAAAAGAAACCAAGCCACTTGGTTTTGTTATCTAATACAATGCTTTTTAAGACATTTGTAAATGTCTTATCAGGGTACTGATCACACACAGGATGTTGCACTGAAAAAGTAAAATAATAAAATAGAAATTAAATATAAAATACAATAAAATAAAAGGAAATGAAATAATAATAAAATCAAAGCATGCCACTTGGTTTTGTTATTTAATACAATTCCTTTTAAGACATTTTTAAGTGTGGCTTTCATGTTCAGATATTTTTTGGAAAACAATGTACTGATCATGCATAGGATGTTGCATTAAAAAATTAATTTTAAAATAACAAACTGAAAATAAATCAAGCCACTTGTTTTTTGTTATCTATAATACAATGACTTTAATGTCCAAATGCATTTTTGGGCATTAGGGTTTTTCATTAGTGTTACTTTTTAGAAAATGAAGTTGCATTGAAAATGCTAGCTAGCTAGCTAAATAAAAATGTATTAGATAACAAAATCAAGTGGCGTAGTTTATTATATATGTGTGTGTGTGTGTGTGTATATATATATATATTTTTTTTTATTTTATGTATTATATTCTATGTTTTATTTTTTTCAATGCAACTTCCTGTTAACGATCAGCGTGTTTTTTTTGTTTTGTTTTGTTTGTTTGTTTGTTTTTTATGAAACTTAAAAATGACTGAAAGTCTTGGTTTCAGACCATTTAAGCGCGACTTACATGTCCAAATACATTTGTAAACCACTGTAGCGGTTCATTAGTGTTGGCCAAATCAATTATCAAAGTACCTATACGAGTGGCATTTTAACTATCATGTACCTTGTTGGATAAATGTCAGTCTCATTTTGATGTTTTTCAGAGTCCATTCACATGCAAAATGATAAACCACTGGGTGATTTTAGCCGTCTACATCCTGACGTTTCTGATCGGCCTTCCTGCCAATCTACTGGCTATTTGCACCTTCTTTAAGAAACTGGGTGACAAACCCAGTCCGAATGACATCCTGCTCTTCAACCTGACGGCTTCGGACTTGGTCTTCCTGCTCTTTCTGCCCTTCAAGATGTACGAAGCCGCCGTTGGCATGAAATGGTATTTATCCCAGACCCTGTGCTCCATTGCCTCCTATTTCTTTTTCACCACCATTTACACCAGCTCCCTGTTGCTCATGGCTATAGCCATTGACCGCTACTTAGGGCTGGCGTTTCCATTCAAGTACAGACTGTTGCGTAAGCCGCTTTACGCCGCAGCAGGAAGCGTCATCATCTGGCTGGTCAGCGCTGCCCATTGCAGCATCATCTTCATCACTGTCCACATGCCAGATCTGAACGCCACCCTTCCCAAAACGGTCTGCTATGAAAACTTCACAGAGCAGCAAAAGAAGATCTTGTTACCAGTCCGACTTGAATTCTTTGTGGTTATATACATGCTGCCGCTCTTAGTTTGTATCTTCTGCTATATCAACTGCATCTACATCCTGTACAGCAGGCCTCATATATCTAAAGAGAAAAAGCAAAGGGCCATTGGCATGGCGTTGTGCACGCTCACCATCTTTTTACTCTGTTTTTTACCCTACAACTTGTCTCATCTGGTGGGTTTCAGCAGCAACAACAGCCCGTCGTGGAGGTACTACACGCTCCTGCCCAGCACCCTCAACACCTGTCTGGATCCGTTCGTCTTTTACTTCTCGTCCTCCACTTTCCGTGAAAGCAAAACTGTTTCTTTACTCAAGAAGTGGTGTTGTTTTACACAGAAGACTAAAAAGAGTGACACTGAACTTGTGATTCTGGCAGAATGAACCTTTTTTTTGCATTTGAACATCAGTTATGTCATGACTCCATGCAAATCTATGTATTAATTGAATAACTTAAAATATTCATTCATTATTTAAGGATTGATACATTTAGCATAGTTATTTTTCAAAGTAGTACTAAAGTTTGGGGTTGTTAAGAATTTTTTTTTTTTTTAAAGAAAATTTAAGAAAGGCTGCATTTGTTTGATTGTTTAAAAATCTGAAATATTATTACAATTTAAAACAACTGTTCTCTATTTAAATATATTTTGAAATGTAATTTATTCCTGTGATCAAAGCTGAATTTTCAGCATCATTACTCCAGTCTTTAGTGTCACACGATCCTTCAGAAATCATTCTGATTTGCTGCTCAAGAAAGTTTCATTAAAATATTCTGAATATTCAACCATTTCCTGTGGTGGTTTTTGAATTTATTTTTATTAACTGAGTTTCCACCATCATGGAAGATCAGAAATATCACGGAAAAAAAATCAGAAACAAGAAAATCAACACAAAAAATCAGAAACAAGAAATATCAGGGAATTTTAAAATGGTAATTTTCAAGCCTGAAAATCTAATAGAAATGTCACATTAATAGCCAAAATGTTGAGAGTTTTACAAAATTATTATTAATCTTAAACATTTTCCTGGTCAGTTTATGGATATTATTAAGAAATTTTGAATATCAGGGAATTTTAAAACGTCATTGAAATTGATAAATCTTAAAAGTCATAGAAAACTCAAATTAAAAGGCAAAATGTTGAGAGTTTCACCAAAATATTATAAATATTAAACTTTTTCCTGGCTAATTTATGGATGTTGCTAATAAAATCTGAATACTATATCAAGGAATTTTAAATTAATCTAAAAAAAATTACTACAAAAATTAAAAATCTAATTACAAAAATTAAAAATTGTATTAAAATATTTTTTAAAAATAGTATTAATATAAAATATAGAATAATCATTTTAATCGTTTTTCTGTTTGCTTATTTCTAAATTAACAGTGAAAATGTTGAGAGCTTCATTAAAATATTCTGAATATTCAAAATATTTTGGATTTTTTTTAATAACTCCGTTTCCACCATGTTGAAAAAACCTAAAAATATCAGGGAATTTTAACATTTAATTGTCATTAAAACACTTTAATTAAATTACATTTTTAATTGTCATTTAAAAAAAGTTGTAGAAATGTCAAACTAACAACCATAATGTTGACCTTCCTTCACTAGTTTATGTCAGTCAGTAAATGAACAGAATGACATCGAATGATGAGAATAATCTGAGATTTTATTTGAGCCCCTTGCCCTAGATGTAACAGTGAAAATTGGGGGCTCGTCCGGGATTCTGAATCTCTCTGTGCATGAACAATGATTCAGTTTCATTCAGGATTGTGTGACTTATTTTTAATCTTAAATGTTCACCTGTTGGGATAGAAACTAAAGAAATCCTGCGGGAAAACCTGCAGAGGAAGAACGTGGCGTATTTTATCTTTCAGCCAACTTGCGCTGGTACTTTTTAAGTGGGATCAGATAACCAAACACCTGTATATATACACGTTTAGACACTTGAGTGTTTGTTGCTCCTGCGTTTTAGCGAGAGCCGGCCACTCTGCGGCATTCATGCATCCTGTAGGCACACATGTAAAATATACCTGCAAAAACAAAACACACGTGTTGAATGAGATCAACAGGACATGCTGGAGATCAAACTAAAATAATCCATCTTCACCGACCTGCAAAAAAGGTCATGTGCAGAGCGACCCAGCCCAGAATGTAGGACCATGAGAAACGCCAGTCGCTGAAACGCTTCCCGAGGAAGTTCACCGTCACCCCGGTGTAGATGGCCATAGCCAGCAGAACAAAGAGCGCTGGAGGAGACATGAATGAGAAGGTTTTTCATTATCAGTCTGTGTAAGCATCTGTCAATAGCTCACTGAAGGGAAAGACTTACTGGAGATAAAAAACATGATCCCTGCAGCGAAGGAACGGTTGAATCGCTTAAAGGCGGAGAAGTGAGTGAAGGAGAGGATGCCTGCGATGATTCCCGCAAAACACGACATCGCTGAGAGGATCATGAAGGCCCGGGTTGCGTTCCAGTAAGCTGAAATGAGAGACAGTGGCAGAAACCAAGAGAGAGGTGCTGGACACTTTAGCTTAGACTGATGGAGGAACATGGACTTTTGAACTTCACAAATTTGGGGAAACTGCAGTTAAAGGAGCTACGTTTAATGAATCACTGCAGCCTTTATGGTTAAAAGATAGAATAATAATGTCTTGGTTTGTTTAGACCAATATTTGTAACTTTTCTTTAACTTTTCTATGAGGAAAAAAATATAAATCTAGAATAATAATATTAAAGGGGACATCGGATGCAAAATTCACTTTTACATGGTGTTTGCATATAAATGTGTCTTAGCAGTGTGTGGACACAACCACCCTACAATGATAAAAATCCATTCACTCCTTTTTTTTTCATCCCCAAAGAAAAGGTTTCTGAATGAGGGACAATTCAAGGCAGGTTTTGGTAAAAAGTTCAAACACAAGGATGGATCAGCAGCACCCACTCTTCATGATCCAGCTGCACCTCCAGAAGAAGCAAGTCTCACACTTTTTTTATGATTATTTGCATATCGCCTTTCCTCTTCCATGGAAGAGAGGGGCGGAGCGAGTAGAGCTCATTAGCATTTAAAGAGACATGCACCGAAACAGGTCACTGTGAACAGAGCTGATTTTGACAAGGTAAAAAGGGTGTTGTTTTACACGACCGTTGAGGAATTTTAACCAAAGTATGTTACAGACATTTCATGAAGACCCTAAAGAATCATACCAACTTCTGGAAAATGGCCATCTGATGTCCCCTTTAAAATAAATGTAAACAACAAATTAAAAATAAAAATTTTTTTGCATATTTTTTATTTAAAAAAAATAATAATAATAATTTATTTATTACAATTTTTTTAAGTGAAAATATTCTGAGTGTTGTTAAAACATTCTGGATATTCAACAATTTCCTGGGTTTGTTTGTTTACTTATTTAAGTAACAAAAATGACATTGAAATGAATAAAATCTCAGTAAAGTCGTAGAAATTTTAAATTAACAGCCAAAATGTTGAGAGATTTACAAAAACATTCTAAATATTAAACTTTTTCCTGGTTTGTTTATGGATATTGTTAAGAAAATGTGACCTTGGAGCACAAAACCAGTCTTAAGTCGCTGGGGTATATTTTTAGCAATAGTCAAAAAAACATTGTATGGGTCAAAATTATCGATTTTTCTTTTATGCCAAAAATCATTATCGATTTCTTTTATGTCAAAAATCATTAGGATATATTAAATAAAGATCATGTTCCATGAAGATATTTTGTAAATTTCCTACCGTGAATATATCAACTTAATTTTTGATTAGTAATATGCATTGCTAAGAACTTCATTTTGGATAACTTTAAAGACGATTTTCTCAGTATTTTGATTTTTTTTGCACCCTCAGATTCCAGATTTACAAATAGTTGCATCTAAGCCAAATATCGTCCTATCCTAACAAACCATACATCAATGGAAAGCTTATTTATTCAGCTTTCAGATGATGTATAAATCTCAATTTCAAAAAATGGACCCTTATGACTGGTTTTGTGGTCCAGGGTCACAAATGTGAATACGTCTGGGATTTTTAAAATGAATTTCCAGGGCTGAAAACATTGAAATTAATAAATCTGAATGAAGTCATATAAATGTCATGGACATGTCTATAATGAATAATTATCAATTAACACAAATGACTGAAAAAGTTATGGATATTAATTGGTCAAAAGGTGTGGGAATGCAGGAATCATATATATATATAAACAAAATAAATAAATATATAAACAGGAAACGGCATGTAACACATTGAATTAAATGTGAAATTTTTAAGCATGAAGTGAAATTTTGTACGTTTTTGACTTTTGAAGTCATTTATTTAAACCTTCAAAAAATGATATTTGCAGTCAGTCTCTCACTCACCGATGCTGTCGGTCTGCGTGTAGCATTTGCCAGACATGCAGTATCTCCACAGGCCCTGGTGAGCGAAGATGCCAGACAGTCTGTACTGCATCCAGTAGTCCGTTGCCGTGGAGACCACCAGCAGGATGTTGCCCACAATGGCACAGAACAAACCCCCTCCCATAAAGCTGTACATCCTGAGGAGCTAAACGCACTGACAGACACATTACAGTCAATTACACACACACACACACACACACACAGATGCTCATCATGCACAGTATATTCAGGTGAATCACGAAACAGGTCACTCTTAAAAATAAAGGTTCCAAAAGGGGATTTTCACAGGGAAGAACCATCTTTGGTTTCCTAAAGAGCCTTTCAGTGAACAGTTCTTAAAACAACCATTTTTTCTTAGTGTGAAGAATATTTTAATAATCTAAAGCAGTGGTTCCCAACCCTGGTCCTGGAGGCACCCCAACACTGCATGTTTTGCATGCCTCCTTAAACAAACACACCTGATTCAGGTCATCAGCTCATTAGTAGAGACTTCAAGACCTGAAATTGGTGTGTCAGAGAAAGGAGACATGCAAAACGTGCAGTGTTGGGGTGCCTCCAGGACCAGGGTTGGGAACCACTGATCTAAAGAACACTCTTAAAGAGGCTATATGCAGAATTCAGAAACCATTGTTATTAGCGACACCGGTGGCCGCTAAGTGAACTGCAGCCAGCATCTTATTGCTCGTGCTCGCACACGTAACGTACATGAGGCTGAACGTGAAGCACGGATCTGATTTACTCACAACAAAATTCTTTTTCGTTCTTCTATGGAAGCCTGTTTCCGCCACTGAATAAAAAAATTTAAAAGGTAATTGCGACTTTTTATCTTTTTTTTCACAGAATTGTGAGATATAAACTCACAATTGCGAGTAAGTCCTAATTGTGAGATATAAACTCGCAATTCTGAGAAATAAAGTCATATTTGCAAGATATAAACTCACAATTCTGAGAAAAAAAGAATTATTTTTTCTCCATTGCGTAATTGCGAGTTAAGTCAGAATTGTGAGATATTAACTCGCAATTCTTGAGGAAATATCAGTGTTTCCCCCCCCCCTCAAAATTGGACTTTATAACTCGCAATTGCGAGTTGATAGGCTCTCTCACAATTCTGATACAAACTCGCATTTGCAAGAAAAAAAAATCAGAATTGCGAGTTTATATTTCACAATTCTGTGAAAAAAAAATTGCGAGAAAAAGTCGCAATAACCTTTTTATATGTTTTATTCAGTGGCGGAAACGGGCTTCCATATTCTTCGCTTAGAAATAAAAAGAAGTTGGAAATACCTTTGCATATAAATATATCAATAACAAAATAAACACACAACAAACATGACAGTGGTGAGAAAACAGCAGTTAAGAAAGCATCTAATCATACGTTTGCTCCAGCTCATATCAACAGATGAGGTCATTAAAATTAGTTACGATAGTTTGAAGCATATTTTGCGACTATATACTATATGTGAGACTAGTTTGAATTAATCCACTTTCTTTGTTCACAATTCTGTGAAAAAAAAATTGCGAGAAAAAGTCGCAATAACCTTTTTATATGTTTTATTCAGTGGCGGAAACGGGCTTCCATATTCTTCGCTTAGAAGTAAGAAGAAGTTGGAAATACCTTTGCATATAAATATATCAATAACAAAATAAACACAACAAACATGACAGTGGTGAGAAAACAGCAGTTAAGAAAGCATCTAATCATACGTTTGCTCCAGCTCATATCAACAGATGAGGTCATTAAAATTAGTTACGATAGTTTGAAGCATATTTTGCGACTATATACTATATGTGAGACTAGTTTGAATTAATCCACTTTCTTTGCATGACATTACAGTAGCCTACAGAACGGCTCTCTCGGCACTATCCTGAACACTGTAAGCATTCTTTGAATTAATCCACTTTCTTTGCATGACATTACAGTAGCCTACAGAACGGCTCTCTAGACATTATCCTGAACACTAAGCATTCATTTCACATGAGAGGCTTTTGATGTTCCCAGTGAAAACGTCCGGAGTCCTTCACATCAAAACCAGTCTACTCTACAAGTTGGGAAAGTTCTCGATTTTTAGGTTTGTTACAAACTGTTCACACATTGGCAATAAAAAAAGCAACAAATACATGAAAATTCTCACATATAGCCTCTTTAAAAATAAAGGTAGCCTACAAGAACCTAAAAACCTTTCAGTGAAATGTTCTTAAAACAAACTTTTTTTCTTAGTGTGAAGAATTTATTTATTTTTTTCACTATAAAGCACCTTTTGTGGAATGGAAAGGTTCCATTGATGTTCTTTTTTTAACCAATTAAGAACCTTTATTTTTAAGAGTGTTGTTATATTTCACTCTTATTTATTTCACAAAATAAATAAGAAACTCTATTATGAATTTTGAATATTTTTTTGTATCATTAAGCCTTTTTTGAGCCTAAATATGCTTAATTGTATTGAAAATATTGTCACAATATAAAAATGTGAATCATTTATAAATATAGGCTGCAATTTACTTGTGTACAATATTTTTAATGTATTATTATTTTTTATTATTTATTTATTTTATTTTTTTTGGTAGTTTGTAAGATTAAAGTTTCAAAATGCATGAACTGATAAAAATGTTGCTTTGAAAAAAACAAAAAAACATCTGCCATATATCTAAATTTAAGTATTAAATGTTGTGCACAGTTGCCATAAAAGCAGCTCTGATTCATTTACACAGAACCTAAAAAATATTTAACATTCTTTTACTATTTTGCCACGAAAATGAAATGCATGAATACGTTTAATTCCTCACATAGTCAAATTTCCACCACAGTTTGTACGTGCGTTTACAGTTTCCTGTGTTTTACAGCCCACACCAGAATTTCACAAGCAAAACAGCGTCAATAACTTGTACTTCAGGACACGTGATATCATTCACACAATGCCTATCTGCAATGCCTCACAACAATATGTAAACAATAGAGTTGAACACCATACACATGCAAAACAGCAGAGGGACAACAAACACACGACTGATGGAGAAATGACCACTTATTATTATCATCAGCATAAAATGTGATGAGAGGCCTGAAACATGCACTACATTATTAATATATGAATGGAGATGATTCAAGCTACACAAGCTCCATTTCACACATTATTGCTTTTCAAAATATGTATGCGTTTAAATCACAAGTATGCTGAATTTTCAGCATTGTCACAGAGGGCGCTATAGCATAAACAGTCTTTACAGTTAGTTTACTCTGTCATGGCAGAGCAAAGTATGAAATGTTGAGTAAACATAAGTCTCTGGATGAATATGGTGAACACATAATATGCATTTACAGTTTCTAGTCAGGATGCCAAATAGAAGCATCAGAGGTTAAAAGCAAAAGTGACACTTTTAAAGAGTCCTTTCTGTGATGTAACTAATGCTTATGGTTACAGAACTTCCTGCAGATTAAATCTGTGCAAACACCCACTCTAAACTTCTGCAAATATTGTTCAATGTGCAAAAAACGTTTAGGGCAAAAGGACAGACAATTTACATAAATGTATTTCAACACAATAGTGTACATGAAGCTTCTAAGTAAAAAAATAAATAAATAAAAATAAAATGTGGTATTACTAATAAAATAAATAGAAAGTGATATTAAGCATGTGAACTCAAAATAATAATTGAATAAATAAAATAAATGCTGAAATGTATATTCAATTAAATTTTTTTCGTTTAAGTTATTGATAATAAATTTAATTTTAAATTTAATTATTAAATATTTAAATTTAATTATTGATAAATTTGTAATTAAATTATAATTAATTTGCAATTAAAGATTTTGCATTTAATTACAAAAGATTACTTTCTCTCCCCAATGTACATCAAGTTTTTAATAAAGTATAAATAAAAAATATATTTTTAAAGATTACATTGTTTTTTCCATACATTTTCAAAAGTTCATTCTTTTTTTAAAATTGTTGCTAATATAATTTGTAAAGAAAGATTTTGCATTTAATTAAAAAATAATGTTCACTACTAGTGAATCTTCTGGTCACCTCTATACAAGACTTCAAAAATGTTTTTAATAAAAATACAAATAAAAATATTTTTTTTAAAGAAGATTACATAATTTATCCATCAAATATCAAGAGTTAAATTCATTTTTTTAATTTAAAATTCCTAACAATACAATTTGTAAGGAAAGATTTTGCATTTAATTATTTAGCATTTAATTATAAAAGAAAGTGAGACTTTCAGTCCCCACTATACATGAAGACTTAAAAAAAACTAGTTTTTAAAGAAGAGTTCATCCTTTCATCCATCAAGTTTCAAGAGTGTGTTTATGGTTTGTTCAGTTTGGAGGGACTTCCCACTAGAAACTGCAATAAACTATCACATTTATCCTGAAAACCATCACAAACGCGACTTAATCAGGGAGGGATTCTTACCTGAGGTCTTCAGGATAAATGAACCTGCTTAAGTATTGACCTTCCCAGAGGGAAAGAGAGAGAAAGTGGGACCCGCAGCGAGCGTAACGTCAAAAAGGACCCACCAGGCCGAATTCCAAAAAGTTATCCTCTCTGCTTTTCTGTTGATGGAGACAAAATCCTTTCAAATGGGCCACACAGAACAAATGCACTTGAGCTTGATGCTGTCTGAGGCACGTGACCGCTGCACGCCGGCCGGGTCCAAGCTTGGGGTTTGGAGGGGGAAGGCTCTTTTTTTTACGCTCTTTTTGTTGTTGTATTGGCCGTTCTGGAACTGTGATGTGCAGAGGCTTGCAGTACTGCTGCGGTCAATGCAACATGCTGAAGCGCACACTTTCATTCAGCCGTGCATGTGGTGACACACTATGATTGGACACATGATGATGTAGCTTCTGCCCATTTTCACTCACATCACATGTCCATGACTCTTTTCTGACAGTGCCGCGATAACTTTGATGTGATAAATAAAAGATACATTTTAAAATAGCTTCATATTAGTATAATATAATATTATGTGCTGCAATAAAAATACAAGATCAGACAGTTTTAATATGAAAACCCTCTCAGATAATACCACAATGTAAAAAAAAATGCTTTTTTGAAGTTGTAAATAAAACAAAGATTAGAGGACGTTTTATAAGAAAATACTATTGAAATTTTTTCTACTACAAAATTTCATTTTTAATTCAATGTTACTTGATGTTTCTTTGTTTATACTTCTTTAATACTTAGTAAAATAATAATATAGTAAAATAATACTTCTAATTAGCGAAGAAATTGCATTAGATTGCATTAGATTGCAATAGCATTAAATTGATCAAAAGTGAAAAGTGAAGACATTTATAATGTTACAAAAGATTTCTATTTCAAATAAAAGCTGTTCTTTTGAACTTTCTGTTCATTAAACAATCCTGAAAAAAAATGTATAATGGTTTCCACAAAAAATATGAAGTGGCACGACTGTTTTCAACATTGATAATAATCAGAAATGTCTCTTGAGCAGCAAATCAGCATATTAGAATGATTTCTGAAGATCATGTGACACTGAAGTCTGAAGTAATGATGCTGAAAATTCAGCTTTGATCACAGAAATAAATTACAGTTTAACAGATATTCATATAGAAAACAGTTATTTTAAATTGTAATAATATTTCACAATATTGCTGTTTTTACTGTATTTTTGTTCAAATAAATGCAGCATGGGGTAAGCATAAGAGACTTATTTTCAAAAACATAAAAATAAAATCTTAATGATCTGAAACGTTTGAATGGTAGTGTATATTTGTAGTATGTATTTTTTCCTGAAGTGTGTCTGTGTCAAAGTAGTCATAATTGAATTTTTCCTGATTGCTTCCTCTATGATTCCGCACACATATGAAGTGCACAAACAGATAGCCTTCTCAGACAGCAGGTGAATACCAATGGCTGTCTTGACAAGTATCCTTGTAAGCACAGTCGGTTGTTTTAAGTGAACATAAACAGTAAAGAAAATATCAGATGTACATCAGTATAACAGATCCGTGCATTTCTTATATAATAATGTTAATCAAAAAGAGCAAAAGAAAAATTGTTCGCTGCTTTAATAGCTTTAATGGATATTTGCTTTTATGTTAATTCTAGTACATCTAGTACACCCCCAAAACAAAATCAAGACTTTGTAAAAGAGCATAATAGGACCCCTTTAATTTCTTTAAAAACAAAAAATCTTACTGAGCCCGAACTTCTAAATAGTAGTGCAGGCAGACAAAATGTGCCTTTATAAGTCAATATAGTTTGTTTTGTTTGCGTTTTATCAAGTTTTTCAGTAGTATAGACATTTGAAATGTCAAAACAACCCATTATTGCTAATGATAAACTATAACGGATCCATACCCAGCAGTGTAGTGTCCACAGTTTTGTTGCCGAGAGGGTTGATGGCAGTGCAGGTGTAGATGTCGAGGTCTGTAGTGACATTAAAATCATAAATAACCAGTTGAGTTGTGTTTGTACTGATCTGGTATTTGGGCCCAGTTTGCAAGAGGTTTCCATTCTTGGTCCAATGCACAAGGGCTTCAGGTGTGGCTTCAGTAGAGCAATGGATCACAACCAGCGTCTGTTCATTTTGACTCATGCTGGTTAAAATTACTGGGAGAAAATCCACAGGACCACCTGCAACATAATGCAATGAGATAAAGGTGCCATTCCAATGCCTTAAAGCATCCTAATTGAAACAAATTAAGTGAACAATTTGGAACACTGTATATAGGCAGCAACACAAATAGTGCTCCTCAAGCGCACTGTGTAGAAAACAATCCCATAATGCACTGCAACACACTAGGTGAAAAAAAAAACTCAAGATGGTGGATTAATATATAAAGATAAATCAATGCATAAATAAAAACAAAATAAATAATAAAATAAAGTAAAAAAATTTTTTTATAATAATAATAATAAACTAAATACACAAATAACAAAGAAAAATACAAAAATTGATTCAGGACTAATTAAAAAGTATTTAATTATTTATAAAATATTTAATTGAAAATAATCTTATTTGTTTTATGATATCTTTTATCACTTTATTAATTTTCCTATTTTTACTTTTATTTATTTATAATTTCTGCAGGTTCGGGGAAAACAAAGTGTATGAAGTAAAAGAAATGTTCATTATAAATATTATACAATTTCAACCCAATAAGTGTGTGCAATGTATTTTTAGGCTTATTAGGGTATCATGTATCATAGCAAAACACAAACTGCCATTATTGAAACTCAATCGATACATTTCAGTTCAGATGCTGTCCATGCAGACAGCACACATAAAATCTAATAGCAAAAGTAAGATTCTTACAACTAAATAATATTCATCATAACTAAATTTGAAATATGAATAATTCTGAACAAACAAATTAATTGCACTTGGTATCTATAGAATTTCCTTGCCATTTTAAGTTTAAATGTATGCTTATTTACTATTCATCATTTATTTATACTAACTAATAATCACCATAAAATAACTTCTGAAATTACAAGGAAATTCCGCAGATTCCAAATGAAATTAATTTGTAACATAAGGATTATTATTTCAAATTCAAGAAAGAAACAGAGCATGACTTACGGGGAATGACACTGCATTGTGTCTGAATTAGAGGATGTTCAGCTTTACAGATGATTTCTCATCCGTTTAACCGCTGAATGTCATTTAGAGTCATACTGTAATTGCCGTATCCACTGGCATTCACACACGCTGGGAAACGACTCTTGCGCTTCTGGAGCGCCGCCTGGCCACAGACTGAGGAACTGCAGCGCTGCGCCTCCATTGACAGCCTGTACTGAACACTGCGGCTCACCGCTGGGAGACTGACAATGATGGAAGGAGAAAAGAAATAAAAGCATCTCTGGCTTTCTAAAACCCCGTTAACTGGGGTAAAAATCACTAACGCAGAAATGAATGGATTACTGCTTTAACAAACACTGTCAGCAGAAAACTATCAAGCCATCCAAAAGAATATTTACATGATGCACAACATCCTAACATGCTGGTATTCCCTTATTTTGCTTACAAAATGACATTTAACGTGCAAACTCCTACCATAGACAATTATATTATAATTATTAACATATTGGTGAGATTGACTGTTCTTGTTGAAGACGTTGCGATGGACTCGCCATTGAAAAACCATGTGGCGGATGGGGGCGGTTAACCCTCGGCCTGACAGGAGAGGAACAGAGACTCGCCCGAAACAAAGACTGCTTCTGTGGGACTGACCTTGAGAACTGGCATATCGGGTCCATCTAAGGGCAGCCGAAGAGGGAAAATAAGTGGTCGGAAATGAAACGGGCTACTGTTGGGAAAGACTCATAAAGAAATAGTTCAGGCAAAAATGCAAATTTGCTGAAAATGTACTCACCCTGAGGCCATCCAAATTGTAGATGAGTTTGTTTCTTCCTCAGATTTGGAGAAATGCAGCATTGCATCACTTGCTCACCAATGGATGCTCTGCAGTGAATGGGTGCCGTCAGAATTTTGGCTTGTAAACGGTGCTTGATCTGTGCAGATTTCTCTCCCGATTCAGACAAGAAGACTTTTTCACTGGAAAAAGCAATATTATGGATTATGGACTCGTATTTTAGCCCGAAGTAATGGTTTGAAATTAAACGTCTTGGTGGATTTGTTTCTTACAAACACACAGCTTTTCACTTCTCTAGATGTTAACTGATGGACTGGAGTGGTGTGGCTTGTGGATTATTGTGATGTTTTTATCAGCTGTTTGGACTCTCATTCTGACGGCACCCATTCACTGCAGAGGATCCACTGGTGAGCAAGTGATGTGATGCTACATTTCTCCAGATCTGAGGAAGAAACAAACTAATTTACATCTTGAATATCCTGAGGGTGAGTACATTTTCAGCAAATGTTCATTTTTGCCTGAACTATTCCTTTAAATGAACGTAGGCTACAGTAATGGTCATATACTCACACAGCACTGTGATGTTCCTGTGATGCATGTCAGAGCTGAACGGATTGGTTAGTAATACAGCGTAGAGGCCTGTGTTGTTCCTGCTGGGATGGTTTATCGTGAGTTTCTTCTCGCTGATGGAATAATGAGATCCATTTTTTAACTGGAGCCCATTAAAGAACCACCGCACCTCTTTGACAAGGAAAAAAGCCAAGGAATCAAAAATTCATGGAAATGAATCACATTTACCAACTCTAACAATGTTTTTGCTACTGAAGTTTAAATCGAAGACATTTATTAAATGCTCTTATACGCATGTGTCATGAAGCAAGGAACAATAGCTAAATAATACACGATAGTCTTTAGGAATGTTAAAATCAAAAGTGCAAAAGAGTCACTTAATTTTATTCACAAATATATAATGAATATTCAACTGTACTGCCCTGCTTTACATAGTAAGGCTTTAATAATTTCATTAACAAACAACACGAAACATAATTACATCAAATAAATGCTTAACATCATTAGTTCATGTACATACCAGTGTTATCTTAGTATTTTTTAAAATACTATTGTAGTTTTTATTTATATTTTGAAACTGCTTTATATCCGTTTTCATTTTAATTTAAGTTAAAGTTTTAGTAATTTTGTTCTGTGTTTGTCATATTCAGTTTTTTTTCTGTCTATATAGTTTTATTCATTTTTATTTCAGTTTTAGTTATTTAAGCACATCAAGTTAAACTAAATGAAAATAAGAAACGTTGCCTTGGCAACTGGTT